GAGGGTAGAAGAAAGAGAGGAAGACTACAAACCAGATGGATAGACTCGGATCAGAAGGGTTATAGGGAAGGGCTTGCAGTGAAAAATAGGGATTCTTGGAGATGTCTCATCCATGGAGTCGCCATGAGTTGGAACCAACTCGAGGGCAGCTAACAACAACAAATAAAACAAAGCAGTTTTTAAACACTAAAAGTAATCCAGTTGGTACAACTTGCCATTTTCTCCAGGGAACAAATCTGTCTTGATCATAGCTTCTAAAGCAGTTTCCCAAACTTTGTTCCTCCAGGTATTTTGGACTTCAGTTCCGAGAAGCCCCAGTCAAGCTTGGCCAATTGTCAGGAATTCTGGGAGGTGAAGTCTAAAACACTCAGAGGACCAATGTTTGGGAACTACTGCTCTAAAGCAGGGGTAGGCAACTAAAGCCCAGGGGCTGGATGCGGCCCCTCGAGGCCTTTGGATCGGCCCCAGGCCAGTCCTGCCACCACTGCCGCCACTGCCCCCTGCTGTTCCCCGCCGCCGCTGCTGCCCGCCATTGGCTATTGTTGTTATTACTTGTTCTTGGGGGTTTCTTGGCAAAATCTCCACAGGGGTTTTGCCATGGCTTTTCTGGGGCTGAGAGTGTGTGCATACATATTTTTTAATGTTTTAATTTTTATTTATTTATTTATTGTGCTTTGGTCCCCCAATTGTCTGAGGGACAGCAACCCGGCCCCCGGCTCAAAAAGGTTGCCTACCCCTGATATAAAGTAACATTATGAGACCCCAGTTTTTCAGACAAATTCCTTCTAGCAATGTACTATTCCTTCTAGCATTGTGACAGTGTACTATCGTCTAGATTTATTTGAGAATATAATCACTAAATATCAGTGTGTCACAAATTTAATGTGCGTATTTATTATGATGTTAGTGATATCAGTTCCTTTAATTATTCTATATATTTTATGAATATAATCCATATATAGACTTAATAAAACTTTGTTATTGTTAACTGTCCTCAAGCTGACTCTCACTCATGGGGACCCAATGGATGAGACATTTCCAAGACCTCGTATCATCCACCACTCTACTTAGGTCCTGCAAATTCAGGCCCATGACATCCTCGACTTGAGTCTAGCCATCTGGTGTGTGGTCTTCCTCTCTTTCTACTACATCTACTACATCTTTCTGCCGCTTCTTTTTGTGCTGGTAAAATGGCAGAGTGGGGTGACAGCGTACGGTTGCCGCTGCCCCAATCCTGCATTGGCTGGTCTGGCTTGATGCTGCTCCTTCAAGCCAGTCTGTTTTGGCTCTATGTTGGCTAAGGCTGCTGAAATCTGCAGCCCAACAAGATCTGGAAGGTTGCACAATTTCTGAAGTTGTCATTTAAGGCAGTGGTTCCCAGTCTTTTTTGGCTTACTGCTCCCTTTCCTCTTGGGTGACAACCCTAGCACCCCCCCATGCCTTTTTCTTGATATTATGTCTATTATTTCTGTAGCAATCAGCTGGCCAGCAGCATCTACCTCAGCTATGCCCAACTCACTAACACCGCCTCCTCTGCCTCAGCCACTCATGTGCAAATATAGCAATGGCAGGGCCCAGGTTTGCTCCTCCCTCTCACCTGCACAGACCTTACAGCAGAAGGAAGGATGGCTGGATGGCTGGCTAGTTGCTTGGTTGCTGCTCCCAGGGTGACAGGGTACAAAAAGAGCAGTGACTGAGCAGTCAGTCGAGCAGGGTTGGCAGAGTCGCTGCTCCCTTTGCACCCGGTCACATTTGGAGCAGCTGGCTGAGCGGCGACCAAGAAGCCTCTTGCCCGTGCTGACCTTGAGGCAAAGTCCAACATGGCCAAGAGGCTTCTTGGTTGCTGGTCAACCAGCTGCTTGGTTGTTGCTCCCAAAGTGACTAGGTGCAAAGGGAGAAGCTTCTCCCAGGCAAGGATAGAAATGTAAAAGCCTGGAAAGAACTTGGAAAAATTGAAAAAAAGGAAGAAAATAAATTATGAGATGTTTTATTTTAGCAAGATTCAGGAAGAAAAGACACCCAAAAATCGTGTTCCCCCTCCCCAATTTTTTCCGGGGATTTTTCTAGGCCTTCACATCTCTAGGCAAGGAAGCATTCTCAGTCTTTCTTCTCTGGGTCACGGAGGGATACAGCCTGGTTCCCATTTTTCTCCTTCTCATAGGAGAGACTTTCAGTCCAAGAGAGGTGAAGGACTCTTTTAAAGAATTGACCCCAGATACTCCTCCTCTTCCTTCCCCAGAGATGTGCCTTGCCCGCACAGCTTCGGGTTGTTCCCCCCTCAAAGACTGTTTCTTCTGCCACCTCTTCTCTGGGCCTGAATGACGAAAGAAAGGTGCAGCAGTGCAGCTCCCACCTGCCAGCCATGTCAAAGCTCATAAAACCGAAGCAGGTCCCAAATGTGAAAACTCCTTTTTTGCTGCTGTTTCTCCCTCTCCGCCACATGCTCTAACTCCTCATCCCCACCATGGTCCCTTGTCTTTCTTGTGCACCACTACTTTGACTGAAAGCACCCCTGCTGCCCCTTTTCCCTCACTGTCTTCTCTGGATCTTTCCACCGCATCCAGCTGGGGGATTACTGTCCACCTCGTGAATCATTGTTTTAAGGCAGGGATAGGCAACCTTTCCCCTTTAAGGGCCGAGGGACTTCGGCTCCCAGAATCCCAGGAGCTATTGGCCAACATGGGACTATTGGCCAACATGGCTGAGGCTTCTGGGAGCTGAAGTCCCTCGGCCCTTAAAGGGGAAAGGTTGCCTTAAAACAACCCTGTTTTAAGGCATTGTTCCTAAAATTTTAGGCATATGAATTCATCTGCTTTGAAAAGATTCATAGATTACACTGATGAAGCTAACCTATTTTGCTTTTTAAGATGTGAATCCTTTGTAACTTGGTATGAAGGAGGACATTTTGATATCCACAGCCTAGAAGGTCAAGGTTTCAAAATATATAGTTGGTCCAAACTGTTATGGCAACCTTGCACTGTAGCACATTTTATTAGAATGTTTGAATATCTGGCATAGTTATTCAGTGTAGTTGTATTTGGATACTTAAAGTCTTGTTCGATAAAGTAACAAACTTCCGGATAGGTACATGTGGAATAGATAAAGTATAGGCTTAATGCATTATAATAAAACCCAGTTTTTCTTACTTAAATTTGTTTAGATTGAGAAAAGGAATGTTTGGAATTATATTAGTAATAATGAGTAAAAAGTAGTCTTTAGCATCTTATATGTACAGGTTGAGTCTCCCTTATCTGAAATGCTTGGGACCAGAAGTGTTTTGGAATTTGGATTTTTGGTGTTTTTTTTTTGGAATATTTGATATACATAATGAGATATTTCGGAGATGGGATCCATATATGGAAGATAACACCATATATGTTGCTTGATAAGTCAAGTTTATGACAAGGCTCCCAAATTTTACATTAACGTTTTGGCTGAGATTTACACTTCATTTTGGTCAGAGCATGTAACATCTGATAGTATGTAATGTTATCTGAAAATATGTCTGTCTTCACTGAAATTTACAGTACATGTACTTTAATTTAAAATCCTGCTATGTGACATCTTTTCTGTTTTTACAGCTTAAGGGTCATATACAGATCATACAGTTTAAAAATCACAATCTTGGACAACTACCACATGTACAGAAACCTTGGGCTTAAATTCAGTCATCACATAGCAGAGAGCCTGCTATGTGGTATAGTGCCTCAAGAATTGAACTAGGACTGCAGGAGACAAAAGGTTTGAGCCCCTGCTCAGCCATTGAAACCCACTGGGTGACTTTGAGCATGACACACTCATAGCCTCAGAGGAAGGCAGTGGTAAACCCTCTCTGAGCCAAGCTTACTGAGAAAAGCCTGTGGCAGGTTCACTTTAAAGTCACCATAAACTAGAAAGGCATTGAACGCATAAAAAAACTAATAAAGGGCCTTTGCAGACTGCCAGAAATAGTGCACATTAAATTGAGGCACTGCCCTGGCTCAGTGCTAGGGAATCATGGGAATTGTATTTTTTCTGAGACATTGAGCCTTCTCTGTCAGAGCTCTGGTGCCACAATAAATTACAGTTCCTGTGATG